TGCTGGCAAAGGCAGGAACCCCCGTTATTCTTTGTGAGTGCTGTGTGTGTGAGGATCCAGGGCTCAACTGCTAGAAATTCAAGCTATGTTCTTAGACTACACCATGCACTGCTTTTGTGATGCAAATGGCAGGCACAAAGTGTCCCTTTGATAATGTGCAGTCAGGAGACAAAAAAAGCATTCACTGAAATAGTCAAACTAATTCATAAAGCCAGGAGACAATAGGCACACATTATGGATATATAAAAAAAAAATTATAGTAGATCAGTTTGATTGCGAGCAATGTAAACAGTTGAAATGTAAACCAGGGGAGGTGGGGGGCAGTGCTGACTCTGTGCATGGGCAAAGCAAGGATCTGGAGTTCAGCGTCAGGCGACTGGCAGTTTATGCTTATGGTTATGCTGAGTTAGATGCGGGCTGAGTTAGGCAAGCTGATAACATCGTCACAGTGTTATTTTCCTTTGGCACTGAGGCTAGCAAGGGGTTAATAGAGGCTCTGGAGAGCTTAGGTTTGGGGGCTTAGTTTCTCTCCCATCACACTCGAGGGTTTAGCTCAAGGTCAGCTGGCGTTGGAGCATTAAGCCGAGCTCAGGAGGAGGCAGAGGGCTGGAGGAAGGGGATGAAAGAACTTCCGAAGCCGCCCTCGGACACATCCAGCCAAGCGGCAGCGCCGCCGCGATAAGGGCTGCGCTGGAGCCCTGCCACCACCCCTCCTGTAGGGCAGGTCCTCCCCTTTGCTGCAACCATGTGCCAGTACAGCGGGAAAGTCAGAGAGGCAGAGCATGTTCCTGGTGCCTGATGACCAGCATGGGGAAGATAAAGTGCTGTCCTGGCATCCAACATAGGCAGTACAGTGTGGAAAACTGGATGAAAGCAGTGCATTTGGACAAGGAGTGTCATTAAGATAGGAACTTGGGTGCGTTCCATCTATACGTGCTGTAGACTTTACCCACTGGCCGTAGTCAAAGGTGGTTTAAAAAAAAAAAGAAAAAGAAAAAGAGATCTTATTGTTTGTTTTGCTAAAAGTGATCTTGGCTGCATTAAAAAAGGGCTTTTATTAAGCTGCTGCTCTCTAAATACCATTCATAAAATGGTGAAGGGAGAATATGATGGAAAGTTGGGTTTTTCTCCCTGTCACTTTGATTTCTTTGTTACAGCTAAAACGACTGCTCTGACTCATATTTTGCATAGTTATTTTTACCTTTTCAAATGTTCCCTAACTGTTCGTATTACCCTGGGCAAATCCCCCCGGGATAATTTTCATTTGCATGCAGACTTTGATGGTGTTATTAAGCAATCACTTCTGTACTAAGTCATTATTAAAAGTAATACCACAGAGCCTCAAAAACACATTAATGGTGCCAAACAATCCGCATTTCAGTGCTAGATTTATGGTAAGGGAAAAGCACTAGGTCTCCTACTGCTAGGTGGATGTTGCTCTGTAATGCTGTAGCAGCATTACCAAATCCAAAAGAACAGCATTATAAGAAAAAATCCAAGCTGGGCTTGGAGGTCATTTGCTCTCAGCCTTACATTTCAAAATGCTGTATTTTGCTTTCTACCTTTTAAATAAAAAAAAAACTCCTTTTGGATTTGCCCCTTTCCCTGGCAAGAGCATGCCTGCAGCCTCCTAGCAGCCCAGGCTGGGCTGGTTGTGGAAGGAGGCTCAGCCCTCCCTACGTAATCACCCTTTTATGGCTTTCCCCAGCTCTGGAGGTGTTAATGCAGATCAAATGGAAAACACTCCAGCAGGAGCATTACAGCTACTTGCACTGCCCCGCGCACGGTCCCAATCGTTAATTCTTATTGTGAGACCTACAGGTAATTCTGTTTGCTCTCCTAATGCATTGCAGCTCTCCCGGTGGTCCGGTGTATCTTTTCTCAAATTCCCATCTTGATCAATTGTTTGCAAATAATTAAGCTTTCAGGAGATAATGGCAGGAGCTAATGTACACAACAAAGTGAAGGTCTCAAGTCACTGTTTATCGAACAGTGGTACAATTTGCTTTGATATCCCAAAGTGGTCTGAGTGGTGGGTGTACTTGCCAACAGGAACCAGGGCATTGGTTTTAGGTGCATATTTCCACACTTGTGTATATTTATATATACGTGGAAACAAAGACGAGGGGGGATGGTTTTAAACTAAGACAGGGGAGGTTTAGGTTGGATATTAGGGGGAAGGTTTTCACACAGAGGGTGGAGATGCACTGGAACAGGCTGCCCAAGGAGGCTGTGGATGCCCCATCCCTGGAGGCATTCAAGGCCAGGCTGGATGTGGCTGTGGGCAGCCTGGTCTGCTGGTTGGCGATCCTGCACATAGCAGGGGGTTGAAACTGGGTGATCATTGTGGTCCTTTTCAACCCAGGTCATCCTATGAGTCTATGAAATATATATTTATATGTAAATATATAGCTAAAGACCTACCTCTTTAAACAAACCATTACAACGCTTTAGGAAAGCGCCTGTTGTTTCTGCCTGGGTGAAATAAGGATCAGCACAAGCAGTTTGGATTGAATTTCCTGTTTCTTCAGAAAATGGCAGTTCTCAGGGTTTCTCCCCTTTTCTCTTCACTGCAGTGTGTCGTCTGCCTTTGCCTGCAGCCCAGGCCTTCCTCGCCCCGTGGGTGGGAATGCAACAAGGCTTTGAAAGTTTTTTTAGCAACCTAGCCTGTGGCGTGCTGATTCTTTGTCAAGTCATTTTTATTTTTTAGCCTACAAAGGAACAACTGGTACAATCTGCAGAAAGCTTATATAATAAGGATGCCCAGTGCTAAAGATATTTTAGACACACGGGGTCGGAGATGAAAAGCCTGCCGCTTTGGGAACCTTTAGCTAAGAAGGATTAGCAACACAGAGTTGTAGCTGTCATGTGATTCTGGCAATCATTGATTTTTATTAAATTAAAAGTTTGTGCCGTGCTAAGCTATGAAAAAAAAAAAATAAATTAATCAGATGACCTTAAGCACACCACAATTTAAGGAATTTGAGACTTTTAAAGCAATTATTTTGACAGTGACTGTATTATTCTGATGGCTAATTTTATCCAGTCTTGTCTATTTGGAAAAAAGTCCAGAACAATTGAAAATTGCTTAATGGAGACAGGGTTCTCCATTCCAATAGCTAGAGGCTGTCTAGTAATTATTGCTTGCTGCATGAAATTAGACACAGTTTGTTCAATTACTTAAAATTAGATCACATGTAAGGTGGCAAAGTGAAATAAGAAAAAGGAATGATTTTGTCCTCGCTTGATGGCAAAGCAATGAAACGGGAAGCAAACTATAAAGATGAAAATGTTGCAGATCTTCTCTGTAGTGTTTTTCTTTTTTTTGAAGGGAAGCAAAATGTGTTCAGATAGATAGATGTAAGTCAAGGAGAGCTGTTTGTTGAGGATGTATATGAGGAAGACTACAAAATTAATGCTGTATTTTTGTATGTGGAAAATGCAAATTATTTATGAAAAGAAATAACCCTCCACCTCCTCCTCCCCCTTGCCTCCCCCCCCCTGCCCTGGGTGGTCCCCCTCGCAGTGCTGGTGCGGAGTCACATCACATCACACGAAATATGGAGAGTAGGTTACAGATGTGCAGGTTATCAGTGGGCTGACTGTCAGGAAGCTTTATTTGTAAAGGAAGTGAGAGCTCCCTGCCAGTTTTGGCAGCACAAGTGTATCTTCAGGAGCTGATGGGCATGGTGGTGGGTTTTAGAATGGGCTCAGTGGGCAATGGGATGCTACAGCAAAAATCCGTATTTGGTAAAGCAAAGTAATTCAGCCCTGCAACATAGCCATTAGATATCAGATTATGCTGGTTACAAGAGTGTATTAAATCTGCTAAATAGTTATGGTACCAACGAGATTGCTGAATTTTACAAAGTTTGAAATTCTTATGCTTTACAAGGTTTCAGTTTACATCTCTTGCAATATTATGCTGAAGAATAGGTCTGAAAAATATGAGACTGTGTGTGTGTAACCAAATGTTTTGTGACAAACAGCTGCTAAATGCCATGTTCAGGTGGGTCTGAGCAGTTTTCCCAAATGCTCTTGCCAAAATGTGATGGGGTGCCTTGCAGTGGCCCTGACCCAGTGCCCAAGCTGGGAGCATTTGGACTCCTGAGCCACGGCTTCTCCTGGGAAGTGCTACATTTGTGGTGCTTGGCCATTTCCTCGTGGGCCAAAAACGCTTTTAGAAGGAGGGAAAGCATAGAGATAATATCACTACTGTCTTTTCTAGATTCAAGCTTGGATGTGGTTTCCGCTGTTGATTTATTAAGCAATCTGTATTCATGCAGAAGCAATTTTTCTGAGAAAGCAATCAAGTTCTCACAAGAAACTTAACTTATGATTTAATTTTAACATTATCTGCAATTAAAGCAGTATTTGTTTTCTGTCTCTTAGGATTAGAGCAGCACAGCTATGTTAATGTTGGGCAAAAATGTGCTGAGCACTGACCTTGCTTTGGCCTGCGTTCAAAATGCAGGCATTTGTTTATGTTCAGGATGCTGATCTTATTTGCAAATTATTTTGGGCACTGGCGAGATTTGTCTTTGCAATCTCAGAAATCACCAATGCGTTTTGGTTTCGGAGAGAAGTGCTGGATCACATTCTTTGTTGTTCTGTACAATACAGAAGGGGAAAAAAAACAAAGACAAAAACAACCAACGAGATTTGTCTCTAATCGCTCATTGGAGACAAGTGCAAAAACTTCCAGCTAAGGCAACAAATATCCTCTAGAGTATCAAGGTACTGCCAGTATCCTGAGCAGTCATTTCTCCACTTCACTAATCTTTATAATTGGCATGCCTTTTACTGCCATTAATTAAGTGATGTAGTAGCCCATTAATAATTATAAAAGAGTGACACACCTCAGCATTTTCACCTTTCGGTAATAGATGTCACACACTTCTGTTTTTTTTGGGTTTGTGTTTTTTTTTTTATTAATAAAAAGTAGGCCTAAAAAAAAAAGCATTGTTTTAAATGTATGTATTTATTTTGGTGTCTTATAGCACCCTTACCCTTCAGAAGAACAGAAAAAGCAGTTGGCACAAGACACGGGGCTCACTATACTTCAAGTGAACAATTGGTAAGTAACTTTGCTTGGTGTTTTCACGTGGCTGCTGGCACCTCTGGCTCACCCTTGGCATTTTGGAGCGTCCTTTATTCCGTCTGCTACCACATTTTGTTGATACAGAAGGGATGGCGTGGGACAAGTGGTTTTGGGAAAGGGGACATGGCGGTTTGGTGCTGCGGAACACAAGTAGGAGTTTATGGCCCTTTGCTTTCTCAGTGGTTTTGGTGAATTTGGGTCCTGGTCCCCTTGAACAAACAGTCCCATCCATTCTGAGAAGTTTGTTAATGAGCGGTTTGGTGATAAAATGGGCAAGAATGGTTTGGTGAAAAAATGGGCTCTGCTTCTGCAGACTGCATTGTTATTTTGTGATGCTGTCAAGCGTTGGGGTTTTTTTTCATTATTTTTTAATACTGTTGGCGGGTTTTTCTTTTTGACTGATACCATTATACCCATTTCTTGTTTTGTTTAAAAAGTCTGGTTCTGTTACATTGAACAAACTTTGGGGACAGCTGTGCTCTTTCTTGCTGAAGTACCACGCGGGGTAGTTGTGTTTGTTGGTTCTGGCTGAGGCTTGCTGGAGCCCTTGGCTTGCTGAAGTAGTGCTTGTTTGAGGTATCCTTGCTGGATCTGCAGTGGGTTTTGAGCTGCTGGCTGTCTGAGATGTGGTGAAGGCCCCCAGTGAAAATTACTCTTGATTTAAATGTGAAAACACAACGGCGAGCCCTTAAAGAACTTTGATTTATTGTCCTTTGTTACTGCATCCAAATTCAGGTTTCTCCCACTGTCTCAGAACAAGTGTCATACTGGAAGTGTATTGCAATCTAATGCCTTGTAAAACTAAGTGTATCTAATTAATTGTCCTAATATTTTCAGATTAGTGTTTATGATGGGAAACCTTATCCTCTTTGAAGTAATACCCAGAAAATGGCCAAGGCGGACGGCAAGCCTGCTGGGGAAAAGGGAGGGAGGAATGCCAGTTTGCAGACAAAAGTACTTTTTCCGTTCAATAAGTGTCAGAGATTAATATTACTGAAGCTCTGATTACATGGCCTAATCCATTTTAGTGAATAAATTTGGTCTTGATGTCCATTGCACCTACATTAACAAACCCTCCTCAGTCAGAGAGTGGGAGCCTATGGGAGAGATTTCAGATATATTAAACCCCATTACAGAAAATGTAATTTCTGTCAATATAATCCCGTGTATTCTTCAATTTAGTACTTTAGAGATAACAAGCTACTTACAATATATTTGCCTTTGGAGGATTAATTTACAAAGTGCACTATCTGGGAGACGCAGGCGGGCTCACATAAGCATGGCTTGTAAGGGTTATCAATTTCCGTGACCCCACAGCAGCCCTGGGAGATCAATTTTCTGAAGTCCTTTAAGACACTGAATAAAGGGAAACACCAAATACTTCGTCTATGCCAAGTAGGCTTCCAAGATACCTTAAAACGAAGGAATAAAAGGAACTGAACGTAAAATACATGTTATAAGTAAACTCAAATGGCAATGTTTTGGCTCAGCCAGGAAGAATTAGCGTTTGTTTCAGCTTTATGTCCCTCAGCTGTTGTCCAGCCGATACCCTGGTTGACAGGGCTGTTCTTGAAGGTCTACCCAGTGTAGAAGCTGGCTGTGTTTGCAGGACTATATTCAAGGGTGGGGTGTGTTGCCTGGGAGGGCCCTGGAGCAGGTTCTACCAGATGCCCGTCATTGTCCTTTCATCCCGCTGTAAGCAAAAGTAGCCCAGGGCAGAGCGCCTACGGGTGGCACGGGGAGCCTGGGGGAGACCCAGAGAGGGCTGGGAGCTGCTCTCAGAGTGGCCCATTGGGTAAGAACTGGAGGGCTCAGGTCGCAGGTGAGTGTGGAGGCAGAGCTAGACACACCATGGGGAACGGTGTGGGCAAGGTTCCTGCGTGGGCACCAAGTTCCATGTGGGGCCAGCCACCAAAGGAGGTGCTTGTGATGAACTCGGGGTGCATTGAACTAAAGCCAGAGGAATTTCTCCTGGGTGACTTCCCTGGGTGGATTTCAGTACCCATCTCATCTCTCATTTGAGGAGTTTTATTTTGGCTTTGTGTCAGATGTCAGATGTGTTTTTATAAGTTCCTTATGTACAGGGAAAGAAAAAAAAAATAAAAGTAGGTCAAAATACATTATAACTGAAGTCTTGCGGATGTAGGGCAGGCTTCCTCTGCTCAAGCTCGTTTGGTAATTCTGCCATGGTGTTACAATTGTATAAATTATTGAGAGAATTCCCCTTTTCTCCCCAGCCCTATGAAGATATAACATTGCAGAGCTGGTCAGGGCTTTTTGGTCGCAGGTGCTGAATGAAGATGCTGAGATGCAATAAGCCAGCCCCTGCTCTTGGTGGGGTGCTAAAGAGCAGGAAGGCTGTGGGGGCAGAAGCTGAGCGTGCAAATTGCACACTCACTTGCTAAAGAGCTGGCCATGGGGTGCACTATGGGAACACGCACCCACCCTTCCCCTGAATATGTTCCCATATAACATAGCATGCATGAGAACAAATCCTTTTCACCTTTTTTTTTGTTTTTTTGTTTTTTTGTTTTTTTGGTTTTTTTTGCTGCAGGGAAAAGCCAGGGCACCATTGCTGATTTAACTCTGCCTTTATTCTTTGGACTCTTAAGTATTTCAGCCATGACTTTAAAAAATTTTGCCTCCCTCCTTAGATTCTTCCAAACTTGTTAACACACATGTACATTTTTGTATTAATGATGAGTCATTGTAAATCACTGTTGCAGAGATTAAATGAAATGCTGAAGGGCAGGCTGGGTGCAGATCAGTCATAAATTATTGGCAGCAACACAGCATGTGGGAATACATGAAATGTGCATGAAAAACATAAACTCATGTCTGGTAGCATGGTCGTTAGCCCAGACTGGGAATGCTGGATTTTCTGGATGGAATTATAAGTTTGCCACAGAGAAGCCAGTGAAGAGAGCATTTGTTTTCCGCAGATTGAAAGCATTTGAACAATTTTTTTTTTGTCATATTTTGAATGCCTTTGCAGTATGGGCTCGTTGCATACTTTGGTTCTGGGCTGTAACGAAAAAATGGTGCTTTTCACATAGGGGCTGCCCGGTGCTCACACTCAAGGGCTGATGCACACAACTCCCATTGATGGTGGGGAGTGCAGGAATGGGGTGATGATGTGAGACATGCCGTAAAACGTACCGGAGTAGGGCACGTCTTTGAAACATCACTTAACTTCACCTGTTTTCTTGTGTGCTCTTTCTTTCTCTTAAACTGTGGAATAATCCATGTGGAGGATTTTCAGGTAGGAAAGCAGCCTCAGTGAGACGTCCTGCTCCTCGACTTGTTGGACACTTAACCCTGAGTAGTGTGGGCTTGCAAGCACAGCAGTGGGAGTGGGAAGGGGCACCGGTGTGGGCTGACAGCCTTGCACAAAGGGACGTGGCAGGGATCTGGTGAGGGTCAGGTTAATAAGGTGCTTTTCCCCTGTGATAAAAACCACTGTGTGGGGATTGAAATATCCAGGAGGTGTGATACAATCATTTATTGCCTCAGCTGAGAACCAGCCAGGCTAATATTGAACAATCCATACAGCTTCCTTGTTTGTTGCATCCCAGCTGAACCTCCTCTTGTTAAGCACTAATGGCAAATAATTACTCCAAGCAGAGAGGGCAATTCTCATCAAGGGCTGTGTTAGGTGTTTAGGGGTTGTTTATGCTTTGTGAAGGTCTAGGTACGTACAGATAAATTATATTAGTATATACATAAATACAAATGTGTACATAAAAATATTTGATAGATAATATAATAACGAGCCTGCGTATCTCTCTGTATTTGCATGCCTTTTTATGACTCTCTACACAGACGTGCATACAGCTGCATTAAAATGATTTTATATATATGAAATGTATGTAGATGTGTGTGCTCAATATGTGCATATACATATAGACAAATATATGGAATTTGCAAATCTGTAAAGCTCTGAAGTGAGGGAACACAAGCCTTTCACTAGGTGCTTCCACTCTGCTTTTTCCAAAATCCCCTTTGTGCTATCTAGGGCACAGACCAGACAATGACGGAGGAGCTAGTCAATATTTTATCTTACCCTCATTCTTCAGCTCTTCATTTGCTGAGCTGTATTCAAAGCGTGCCTGAAGATGGAATTGATAATTGCTGATGGGCTTTTCTCATGGTGCTTCCCACTGCAGTACCCGGGTACTCCGCTGACCTGTATGTGTGTGCTCCAGGTCTGTGGGAGTGCAGGAGTTTACAGTTCCCTGCTGAAGAAGAAGGGTGGCATTGTCTGGGTGTGCAGGTGAGGAAGTGAGCCTCAGGGAGGTTCAGCTCCAGCACATCCACTTATTTTGGGAGGGTTAGGGACGGAGATGATTCAAGGTGATGGCATGTTGTCTGCATTCAAGGCCCAACAACCGCTGAGTTCATGGAAACTCCAAGTTTTTAGTGCCTTGGCGCCCTGCATGTCCAAGCTCCAGCACAGGGCACGGAAGAGAGCTGCAATAGCCTGTAACTGCTGCTGAAAAGTGAGGTTGCAATGATTTACTCGGCAGCTCCCAAACAATCCAAGGCAGCAGCAGATCGGAGAGTCCTGTTCTCCGCTGCAGCATTCCACTGCTCCAGCCAGGACTGCTCTTATTTTCTTGCCATTCACTGCCTTATTTGTTCAATTTTGACCATGTTTGGTTCCCGTAGAGATCAATTTTTTCTACATGTTAGTGATTTGTTCTCATAACAGATCCATCGTGGTGGTGATTGAGGCTTTGCAAGCTGGTGACCAGACTGCTTGCTAGGGTGCAAGCAGCTCTAGCAATACAGTTTCCTACCTCTTGAGTTCTTGATTTTATGACTTTGGCTTCTTTAAATGTCATTTTTGTGTGTAATTTCCGAGGCTAGCACAAAAAACCCAAAACCAACAAACCAACCGAACACACTGGAAAAATTGATCAAATAATGTAAATTTCCCTAATCTCATTCTTGGAGACAACTGAAGTTATTTTTGC